TCAATCCACATTGGAGACATCATCATTGTCCCACCAGCCTTCCAAATGCGAGTGCCAACTATCTCCTACAGCTAATAAAGTTGTGTATCAATGTTTTGTATGATAAAGAGATAGCCAAACAATATAGTCAGTTAACAGCTGAGGGTTTCCCAAAACACTGGGTAATGCCCTGGGAGGGGGTAAACACCTGACCTGCTAAATTCTGACATTGCACTTCTTCCTTACACAAGTGCTTCCCTAACTTCATACTCCCAAAAATCTTCCAATTATCACAGCAAAAGAAAATTATCACTCTTGCAATTAAACAAAGTCAAACTATAGCTAACACACGCTATCAACATTCATCAAATAAGCCCACTGTCTGGAAAACCATCTCTATTTCTCACACATTCTCAGGACAGCAATCCACCAGAAAATTAGTTTTAAAAAACAAGTGACAAGTTTCCATTCTCAGCAACGCAACCAACCTCACAGCAGCGAGAATGGCTAATCACCGGCTACCAGCCATCCAGCAATTCAGGGCAGGTAGTTTGCGGACAGAAAAAGTAATGAGCTTCTGCAGCAGTACGCACCCCCTCAACTCTCTGTCATGCTCCAAGACCAGTGGGGCAAGATGCACTGCTAAGTCCACAAAAGCAACTCATGCAGAAGTTTCTGACCTGCATCTGATCACCACCCAAGTTCAGAATTATGTGAATAACCCTCCATTCAGTGCTGTCCAGTCTCACAGACACCACTGAACACTTAAGATAAGGCAGACTGCAATAACTACCCCGTGCCCCTATGCTCCTTCCAAATCCACTGCCATTACATCTCTTATAAACCCCCAAAGGTTGTCATCTCACCCTGTAGCCACCTCTCGTTATAACACACTCAGGCTGCAGTCACGCGGTTTCTGCAACGGAGTCGTGGTTGCTTCACACGGGCAGGAGCAGCACTCTGGGCTGGCAAAGCTGCCCATGACTGAAGCTGAAATTGCTTCCACTCTTTAAGCCCTTAAAAAAGGCAAGCTGTCCCGTAATGCAACACAGGCAAGTTAGTCAAGCCTGGAGTACTGCAAATAAGTTCCAAGAAAACTCATTGCTAATATATCTTGGCATAGGGAGAGGAGGTAGGGTCTGCATCCCAGCCCATGTGGAGAGGAGAAATTGCCTGATGCAATTTCACACAGTGAAGCCCAAAATACCCACCACTGTTGAAACATCAGAATGATAATCAATGAGATTTCAAACAAGTCTAAACAGACCTCCAGTTACCACAAGCAGCAATTTAGATATGCATCAGTTGCTTGGAAAGAAGTGATTATGACCGTATTTTGACTGTCCTGTAAAAAACAAGTATGTTTAAGGACAAAGAATTCACTGTTCCCAACTACAGAAACCTGAGATACCAATATGAACTTCAAACCAATGAGAAGTTTTAAAATATTTGTCTTATTTTACCTAGCTATTTGCAGTAAGTTTAATTTTTTTTAATTTAAAGTTGAAAAAAAAACACACACAAAGTGTTCTCTGAGGAGTGGGTGAAGTGCCTAGGTGACATTTTGTAGAATTCAAATTATTTTCCATCTATCTTGAGAAAGCTGCAAACATATTTTCAGCTTTTTAGATGAAAGCTTTCATGCTTGTTCCCAAAACATGATTAACTTCCTTAAGATCTGTATGACATATTCAGTCTAAAGTTTGCATTTTTTTTTGGTGTGCTAAGATTATTTGCCAGAAAAACTAAAAATATCTGCAGAAATTAAATAGACCTAGAAATTTATTGCTGATTAAAAAAACCACCACAATACAACATTTTAGTGTCTTGATAACATCCCTTTTTACAAGCTTTTCTAATAACTTCATATTTAATCTTAAATAATATGCTAGTTGTTCTGCAAGATAGTTCAACTGCTCTTGTTTCAACATCTTCAGCACAGACTTTACTAAGTAGTTATTTTCACTGAATCATTATAATGTATTTTCTTGATTAATGCAGTGAGTCGATTCTTCTTCATTTATGGCATTTTCTTTCTCCAATATATCGATTGTTGCTTTTAAAAAAAAATAATTCCCAAACCAAAAAAGTCCACAGAACAATTTTCACCCTGTCGTTGTCTGTGGCGGAGGAGAACCATGACTAATAGGAGAAGGGATCAAGCCTCAAACTTGCTTTACAACTTATTTTTGTATTGCAAAAGGAGGTGATACTACAAGGTAACAACAGGAATTCTCATGAACTACCCTTAACCTTGGTAGCTACATACTATCACCACATTCCATAGTAGAGACCACAGACATTGATAAACAACAGACCATGAGCAACTGGGAACTAGCACAATAGTTACTAATTATTTACTTGTAAAATCTTTGATGTAATAGTATCCAGCAGCCTAACTCACAGATACAGAAAATCAAGACTTCTTCCTCCTTTCACCATTCCTACGCAGGGCTTACACAGTCCTGAGGTAGATATTCTAATGCAAAACCAACTAAGTCAAACAAAGTATTTCCCTCTCCCTGATAGCATTTGCCTCTCAGTATTACTGACATGCCACGTCCAAGAAATAAAAGCTGTTAAGGTAAGAAATCCTCAGTTTTGGATCCTCCTACTTTTGAGAATGGAGGCTGTACTGAAACATCTCCCTGTGACAGAGGTAATTAAAAAAAAATTAAGGCAAAATGGATTAAATCGGTGTATGTACATACATAAACACGCAGAGAGACAGAGAGAACACAAGAGATACCTCTGATTTCATTATGTGATTTGTAAATGCCAATGCACAGCTGTTTGGGTTTTTTTGGACATACAGCAGATTCTATGAATTCTTTTAGAATCTATATGAATGCACCAAGTGATTTTCCTCAGTTGTCTACTCAATGGGGACAAAGAGAGTATTATTCACAGGTAACAAGAGGGATGGTATAAAAGCTGGGCAGCAAGGATGTGGTTCATTAAGGGAAGAACTAAAGAATTCATTAAGGCGTACTGTGAGGCAGAGCAGCTTTGCAAGAATTCTCTGATGTGCCAATAATGTCATAACAAATACCCAAGGAAACTAGTTAAGTCGTTTTCCCTCACATTAACATTGGCTTCAGTGTCATTCAAGCTGTGGTCATTTACAATTTCAAAAACATGCCTGATCTTTTCTACAAATCACACAACAAGCTTGGTACCAAAACACTCTTCTGGGGGCGCCTCAACATCTTCCAACAAACTTAGAACAGCATTCTAGCAAGAACACTGGAAACCAAAGCATGGTTTGTTTGTTTTAATAACATAACAGACCTATTTACCTTAGTAGTGTGACAGGCAGCCATTCTACTAGGAAGTTTCCATACCATTCCATATAATTTATTTTTCAGGCAATTTTTAAAATACTTCTTAAAGAAGATGCTATATAACTGATGCACCCCACATTTAAACTTATAGCATCCAAGCAGTCTACCAAATCATTTTCTCCACCAGCAGCATGAAGACGGAGTGCATTGTGACACCTCATACATATTTAATAATAGCCTGATAGGCTGTCATTAACATCAAACAGCAACCTAAGTTTGCTACATTAAACATGATCCCTCTGTTAAGAGGACAATCACAAAGCGCCTCCAAGATCGAGCCTGTAAGAAATACCCACCGACTTGGACAAGGTGTAATGAGGCCAACTGCACTGAAGAAGCCATTATTCACGCACTGCGGTTAAAATGGAGGAGGAGAAGAAAAAAAAAAAAAAGCAGGGGAAAAAGAAAAAGCTTCAATGGGTCATAAGACCAGACATGCCATAAGGCAATCTGTCATAGAGCACTCATATTAATAACTGTTGTGTCAAAACTGAACATTCAAAAGAAAAGACAAACCTTCCTTTATGTTTTATGAAATGTAAGCCCACAGAATTCATAATTCATGAGACGAAGAAAAATATCAGATTTGGATATAAATATTAACAGAACGCTGTCAACCTGTTTAGAACCAAATTTTAACTGTCCTACCTTACGATTATCAATCTAGAAGGGAATATTCTTCAAAAGCTCAAAAAAAAAAAAAATCAGTATGAAAGTCATTAATGAAGAAATTAACATTCTCTATTCATGTAGGTCCTAAGCAAAACAGGAGAACTCTGTTCCACGCCCGGCTGTTGCTGAGCGAATGCTAATTGACCGGCATTATTTGTTTGCAGAGTTACACTGTGTTGATAACAATAATGTTGGTATGCACACAAGAAAGTACACCAAAGGGACATACTCAAATCAAGACCCAGTGGTAAATGGGTGGGAAAAGAGGGGAAGTAGTTGTCAGGTGACAAAGATAAAAAAGCTAGTTAAAAGTTAATACATAAAAAGTTTATACAAGGGGTCTTGGATACATTTTTCTCATTAGCTAAAGGACAGGCATTTAGAAACTACAAAAGATAGCAATTAACCCATAATGCACAACCACATGTCAGTGAGTTCACTGCATATGATTTCAACCAAATACGAAATACATTTTCAGAATATGTTAGTCTCAAGACAAATAAGTATTTAACTAGACCTATGAAATGATGCAGTTATTTCCATTTTAATCTTTACTTAGTTTGCTGAAGTGGTTAGCAGTTGAAATTCAAGATCTAGAAGAAACTTCTGCCTTATGATGCCAGGCCTTCTCTGCTTTCACTATTATAGAGAACAGAAGATTTGAACACAAAACACAATTGTGCCAAAAAAATCAGGAATGCTATCAAACTGTATTGTTCTAAATGGTGGTGACACTGCTTTTCTTTACAGTTTTTCTTCTTCTCCCCAGCTAATATAATTTCAGTCTAGTTATGTCCCCATCTGCACATACATTCTGCGCAACAGTGTTAAAAATACTTACATGAGCATCAATATTGGGCATACATTAAAAAAAGTCACTCTGCTTTTCTCTACAGTTCCTGACATTTTCACTGCTTTTCACCCAGTGATGAGCACGCAGAATGAAAAGCTAAAGAAGTTGAACATTATAAGCTTTTAATATTTGTTCAAAAAGTTAATTCCTACCTTTATCATTCTAGAGAGGTCTCCAGCATCAGCTAATTCCAACACTATGTTCAGTTCATTGTCTTCAATGAATGAGGCATAGTATTTAATTACATTTGGATGATTCAGTTGCTAAGAAAGCAGAATAATAATGCACATTATAGTGTAGAGTCTTATGTTTTAAGACTGACAAGTAAAACATTCTTACTTAGGCAAACAAAACAGCCCCTAAAATCTATTTCAGCATGAAACAAAAAGTATATGCTTGTGATAAGCATTTATAGATAAACATTTTGCAAGAATGTGACTGCATTTCAGGATCAACATGACGACTGACATTGGAATTTTAGAAGAATTTTGCTTCAACGTATCTATGCAATAGCATGGTAAAACTGTTATCTGATACAGCAAAGTCAATTTTTAAAATCAGTATTTTACTGTACACGGGACACAGCTATTTACAGTACTGTAGTTTTAGCAGAAAGTTCTACATGAAGAGTTACCCACTTTTCTATAGGACTTACTTCTCAATGTTAACTTCTAAAGCAATAAAAACTACAAAATTCCTTAAGTGAGGCTTATAAAAACTCTACACAGACAACAGTGGACACCTCAAGTACATCCATGAAAAACTTAATATACTTTGATGATGGCTACACATCTTTAAAACAAATCTTTTACCTTAAGAAGATCTATTTCTTTGATGCAGTCAGCACGGGCTTTGGCATCCATTAAATCAAATATCTATGCACAAAAGATAAGACATTTTTATTAAGTTATTAAAATACAGCAAATTGCATGATCATTATCATTATTTCACAGCATCCATAAAGCAATGTGAGTTATGCTTTTCATGGTAAGATGTAACATTGCAGTAAGAAATATTCCTAATGCTCTGATGTACTGATTCACTGCTATATTGATTCTTTTAGCCTCCTTGTAGGAAAGAAGTCCAGTGTAAGTACAAGTTCTCCAATGACTTAATTGCCACCTCCGCATATCTGTTCAAACACACAGCAATAATTCAGCACATTTCCTTCAAGTTGGTTCTAATCCAAATGTCAGCTTCCTCTCCCATTCCTGCCACACCATTATCACAAGCTGATTCTTTCTAGTACCGAGCATATCTTTTTTTCCTAGTCTCTTGCCACAGTCTTCCTTTTCTATTCTAAATAATGCATACACTTTCACTCTCTCAGGATCAAAACTTCATTGTCACCTCCAATTCTTTCTCTCCCGCTTCCTTCCCTTCAGCAAGCAAAGTAGTGATTTGGGTTCTGTAATTTGTTTACTAGAGCACTTTTTTCTAACCTCTCATCTGTCACCTTGACTTTTACAGCCTTTTACAGTTAGACATCTCTGCTCTTCATTTTTTCCCCATCCCGCAGCTGCTCCAAATTACTTTGCAATGTATCTCATTTTTGCCTCCTCCAGTTAACCACGATACTCTCTGCGAATTTCAAGTTTTGTTTGGAGTAATTTTTTCCTGCCAGTAGAGTCCTTGTCCATGTTCTACACATCTATATTTGGTTTAATGTCTTTCATTTTCTCTCCCTTTTTTTACCACCTTTGTGTTCCCTTCTCGCTTCACTTTCTCAGATACATATCTCCATACACTGCCACCGACTCTTCCCCTTACAAATGACCAAAACGTTCCTTTTTCAAGGAAACCTTCCTCTCTCATTTGACATTACTTTCTGAATTAAAAAGCAAACAAAAAAAAAAAACCCCACAAAAACAACAAACAAACCCACTCATCCAACTTCTGTGTGGTCTGCGTATTACCCTTTGAGCTACCCAGAAACAGAGGTGCACTATGAGCTTTAGCAATTGCCACAACCTTTATAAGATCACCTTTTCCAATAACATCTTTTCAATACACATCATTTCTTTCTAGATGGTCTCCAGGAAAAGATGTATTATGTGCTGTGAAGATTGCTGGTACCTGGTTCCATCAACTCAAAATGATCAAAAGCCCAACAGCTGACAACTTCAATTTTGTATCTTGCCACCAACCCCAGAAACAAAAATAAGCATTAAAAGCACTTTGAGTACTGAATGTCTGCAAAGAGGACATATCTTAAACTGACTGCATAAATGTCCATGTGAATCACACCTTCTTTCACTCTCCTCAAAGAAGTTCAAACAAATCAGGAAGTCCACATATGATCTGCTAAACCTCATCTTAATTTTCTATGCCACCATGCACAGCAAGTTTTTCATTCCTTTAATCAACTGAAAGGAGAAGTCTAGAGACTTCATCCATGGAGCACAGTCCCCATAGAGCACACGTGTGCTCTTGGCTGCTTCCCTTCAGATATTCAATCTTCTGTCTTCAGAGCTGGCCTAAGAAAAAACAGCCTGCAGTGGATGCAAGACTCACTTTTTGGCAAAGACAACTGTAAGTCAAGAACTGAAACGCCAGGCTTGCAGACAGTAAGAAGAGAAAGGGGAGGAGGAAAGAAAGAAGAAAACAAAACTACTCACCAAGAAAGAAAGGGAATAAACCATCTCACAACTACTTGTATATTAATGGCAGGATGATGGGAAATGAACAGACTGAGCTAGAAGCAATTATTCAAGGAGGAGACTGTGGAGGACTTCACAGAAACACAGCAGGGTAAGTCATAAGACAGGAATATCAACATGAAAAAATAAAGCAATCTCAGATGCAGTAGAAGAAAAGAGTTAGTAGTATATACGAAATTACAGGTACAAGTATTAACAGGCAAATAACACTAATGGAAAACACAAAAAAGATAGTTTATGAATTAAGGTAGGGAACTTGGTGAAGAAGATGAAACAGCTTGCATCTGTTAAAGATCTCAACTCTGAAAGAAAAAATGCTCTTTAACCGTTTTGACAATAGACTAAAGTCCTAGGTATTTGGTACAGTCATGAAGGACTGTAATGATTTTTCTAGGAAACACTTTGGAAAGTTCTAGATATGAGAGAATATTAACTGAGGAAGTACTGGGGAAGGCACGAAATCACGATTGTATGTAACCTAAGGGACCAGCAAATGGAAAACTTTATACCTTCTCTCCCAAAAACAATCCATGAAAGCGTGTATCAGGGAGCAGGGGAAAAAGAGTACAGGTATAGCGGCACGTCTTGAAGCTCCACACTTTTGCTGAGTTCTAGATAACAGCGAGACAAAACTTTCCTTATAAACGATACAGAGATTAGACCGAGAACTCCAAACACACTGGGGAACCTAATCAAAGCTGCAGACTGAATTTTAGACTGAATATTGTACACAAATTATCTACTTATAGCATTTGGAGAAATTACCCAGAGCACAATTTCAACATTCAAAACCAAAATAGTTTCATTGTGTGAAAAAACAGGGCAGTTTGCACCTGTTAATGACTGTTCCAATATGCCAAGAGGCTTATTAACTTACCTATACCAGGAGTATTTCCCTCCACACCTAAATGAGCAAATTCTGTATTTTGAAAAAATTTTTTTTTTTTTTTTTTTATAAGCTACGCCTCTGATAAGGACATAAATCAGTACCTCTCATAGAGGAATAATAAAACAACAAAAATAAAGCCCTAGACCTAGGACTGTGAAAGATCTAGGATCGAGGCATAGGAAAAAAAGACAAAATTTTGTTTGTGTATGCTGGCTGGTGTTCCCAGTACTTCTGCTTTGTTATTAAACAGCCTTGAGTAGACTAGACCAAGCAACTGCTCCTATGAAAGGGCAGACTAAAGTTGTATAAACATGACTCCCTATACTTTTGCTACACTTCATACAGCAGTGCCAACTTTGTCGCAACTTCAGCTAAACTGAATATTTCAACTATTACCTGAATAAAATAAAGGAAGTCAGAAAAACTGAGACTTTTTTGACCCTTGCAAAAGAAAAAAAAAGACAAACAATCTGAAGATTTACTCTATGTCATTCTTGATGTTCTCCGTTAGACTTTGATCCAGATCTAACCTCAAAATAATGTAAATAGCAATTCCCAGAAATCCAGAATTTCTATTTCAGTCATTAACGTCCTCCAACAATAAGACTGGAAAAATCCCACAACACCACCACCAACAAAAAAATGTATCACCCAATCCACGGCCTCTGGAGAACCTCTGCCCTATCATACTAGATTCAAACAGCTCGCAGAGACTTTCTTTCTGAATAGATTATCTTTCCTTTTTGCCAAACTGCTGTAGTTCAGATCAGAGGCCCCTGGTGTAATAAGCCATGTCAGCTCACAAGGAGGTTACTGTAAACACAACAAGAAAACCTCCACGCTTCATCACCACAAGATGACTCAACACCGAAGAATGTCTTGCACTGAAAAATGGAAGCTGCAATGAAAGATTTTAAGAGCTTAAGAACATCCTTTCAAGTGCATGTCAAAATTACACATGGCACCTGGCAGCGATCAGGCGGCTTGTTTTGCAGGAGCTGCTGCAGACCAGACGACCGCCGCACAGGAGAAGCTGTCCTTTGCTTGTGGTTTACTACAGACTGGCCAACATGAAGAGATGTCAGTACTTCCATCACAACTGTAACAGCTTGTAGTTTTGCAAGCAGACTAATTCCATCTTTGGCTACTGCTACTCAGCAAGCCAACCTGAAAGGTCAGTTTACGCTCCCCCCTCTCCAGCATGCACACAGATCTAGCTCACACACACACAATTTGTAGCCCTACAAAGACAGTATTGCCATTCCTATTAGCAGGCTGCCTCAGAAACATGAAGCCTAAAGAACTTCCACATTTTGCCTGGACTTTTCTTGGCTTGAACTTATTTTTTGAGCTTGGATTTAGCTATAGCAGCACATGCTTTGCAGCTGAGAGACTTAATCGTAATGAAATCATTACAGTCAGATGACTTGTTGGTTTTAGATG